TGACGAGTTATACTCCTAAATCCCGTTTTTGACGGGCTTTCATTTGGTATAAAATTGAATGTTGATATCATTTATCGTTCAAGTTATACCTCATGGAAAAACATTTTTGGGAACCCTGCACAACCAGCACATAACCAGCCGAAATAGGTTTTCATAGATAATTTAATATTTTGATATTAGTTGAAGTACGATCAAATAGCATAGAAAGATAGAGCTTTTTTTTCTCTATCAGACTATATAGAAAGAAAGTTAGTTAAGCCTACTATACGGTATTAAAGTGTCACTACCCGTACTTTTGGTATGCCCTAAGTAGAATAATTTAAAAACTATCGAATTGTATATGCATACTCTACGTTTTTCAATTTTTTTTGAAAATTTAAGTACTACAAATAGTTCAACAAGTCATGATTGTTTGTATTCAAACTTTCTATCTGAGAAAAATATGCACTGAGAAGTTGAATAGACATTTTATAGTTTTCATGAAGCACTGCTTTTTTTCAGTTCATATTGAAGAAGAAAAGATTGATTTAGCAAACCAAATCGATCGTATTTTTAATGATTACACGGAGATTGATGTTAGTAAATCGAAATATTTTTCAGTTTTCAACAATTCCACAAGAATACAGAAGTGGAAACAAAGACTATGAATGCATGCAAAAGACGTATGAAAAAACATTATTGAATTCTTGAAATCATGTAAACTGGTTTCAACACGATTACAAACGACAAAATATTTTATCGATTCATGTTGTTACACCTGATATAGAACGTTAAAAATTGAGTTTGCAAGGGATGTTAAATGATACAAAATTATCAAATGAAAAAGATAAAAATTATTAATGTTTTATTTGGACTGAAATATAATAGGTTTACTTATTTTTTCACAGTAGATATGATGTTCTTTCGGCAACCTGGGAATATATTGATGGAAGTTACCTTTGATTATCATTCCATTCATCTCATGGCATCATTTCTAAATGCATGAATTAGCAAAATGCAACACTGTGCCAATAATCAACTAAATTTATGTTTAGAATACACAAAGCAAGAAATACAATCAAGGACAACAACAATAGGTCGACAAGAAAAACATCTGGTGAAATAAATAGAAGTCTTCGGATGATGCGGCAATATTATGGAGAAGAAAATGAGTAAAATGATTTACCAATAACAACATCAACAATACATGAATTTCAAGATCAACAAAAATTTTCAAGTTTGAAATAGATAAATAAAACAAATCATGCTGCTCAAAATCGTCTTGTTTATGTGATCAAGAATATAAGCCATAATATTTTTGGAAGTACCATCATAGATTATATCCATGTTTAGCGAGTATTACCAAACATGATCTCGTAGTATCAGCAACTAGTGTTGCTGTTGAATATGAATTTTTTTCGATAGGAAATATTGTAACTAAAAAACATTCATAACTATCTCCTGATACAGTGCATGATATGATTTTCCAAAAACTCATCATAAAAATATAGTGAAACGAATGTCCAAGATATATAAACAAGAACAAATGATGTTTTTTAAGTCTTCTGAAATATTTTATTGGTATTGTTTTTTTTTCTTATTCTATATTTGTTTGTTTTATTATGCTTTTGTATCTTCCTTGTGTGATACATATTTTTAAATCTCACTATTTTGAACAAGAATAAAGTAAAAATAAATGATAATAAGAAAAGCATGGACTTAAATTAGATATTCTTTTATGAAAATAAACAACTGAAGAAAAATTCTGAATTGATATTTGGATAGAGCATAATTGAATAGAGATGTGTTGATAGACACATCAACCTGAGAAGGAAAGCATAAAGCGAAAAAAGAAAGACAGAAAAAACGCTTGTTCTTATATTTTTGGTCAGCACTATAATATATATCTATATCTATTTACTATAGATGAAAATCGTTTAAAATATGATGGATGAATTGAAATAAAGATTACATAGTTTTAGTTGTTCCTAGTGGAGTTCAAAAGTAGAATTTTTCCGATAGCGTTCAGTTTGAATTTTGAGAAACTTGAATTAAATCTATCTTTACAACATAGTACATAGGATACATGATTAAGTTGTAGTTTTTTTGACCCAATACATATAGCTATGAGAGTAGATGGATGACTGACGAAGATAACAGAATAAATAACATTACAAACCATAATTGTATTTCTATTTGTATGTCTCTGACCGATTTCTTGTTTAAGTTTGCCTTTCTTCATATTAATTTATCCATGCATTGTTCTGCTTCTCCTTCATAGTTTTGGACTTAAAGACATACAGTTGGAGATAAATGCAAGCGTAAATGACGAGCCTTGAAAAAGATTTGTATGATTTGATTGTCATCGTTATTTATCTTTCTATCCTTTTGTCTTCAGTGTGTTTTTTATGTAGTACTGGAGATATACGCTTCATTAATTACAATAGAATAAATCATAGAGCGAGAGAGAGACAAAAAAAAATTGTATGTTCCCGGGCTTGCATTTTTAGTATTCATCAATCGTTGACAATACGAGAAATTTCTTAGAATACATTCGGCCGTATGAAAAATCAAATGTCAAGCAATTCCAGTGATCGTATTAGGACTGCTGCTCATTGGGTGTGCAAAGAGGTCTACGATCTAGACAATATAGTTACTAAAAATAATGTCTTATTAAATTATGCGATAGCTTTAATGGAAATGGCTGCAGCTGATGGTATTCTGAGTGAGGCCGAACGTCAATGGGTAATAGGTTTTGCTAATGCTACAGGTAAAAATCTCTTATTTTAAATCTATCAACCTCTAATAACATTTTGCCTTAGGAGCTCCACAAGAGGAGTTAGACCAACTTCGAAATTATCAACCAAAAGGTATGGAAGGTGTACTAAAAACTTTTCATATTGAGAGTGGCCATGCTCATGGAGAACAAGGTCGATTGTCTTTAATCTACGATGGACTTTGAGCAGCTGGTGCAGATGGTGAACTTCATCCGAAAGAAATGGAAGTTGTCTATGCTCTCGGAAAAGAACTTGGTGCTAAAGAAGAAGAAGTGAAGGAATTGTGTGAATTGTATAGAGAAGAGCAGCGACTTCGTCTCAAACGGATCTCGATTATTTTTCCGAATGGTACTCACAATGTCGTTGCCAAAATTGAGAAAGCCTATTGAAAAACAATTCCCTGACGAAAAAACTCGCACATAATTACTTACTATTAAAATAGATGTAGTTCGTACTTATTTCACGCTCAGGATGGTTTTTCTTGTAATCAGTATTAGAATTTAACTAATAAACAACTACTAATAGTTTGCATAGTCTTTCCAATGTGTTGTCTTTGAATTCAATGTGAAACCAACAACATCAGATTTGAATTGAACTGACAGATAATGCACGAATGGTTTGCAATGTGCTGAAGAGAATGACGTAGCATTGTCAACATGTAATTACTACAATAGGATAGCTTAAGTAAATTAGTCGGTACGAATAAACAGACGAGACGAAATATTTCCAATTTCATCAGACAAAATATACTATTTCGGAAACGGCAACAGAGATAAGAATTTTTATCAAATCTCTTCCTTTATGAAACAATTATTTTTTTTCACTGATGCATATGTTACTATAGATGATTGACATCTTTCTGTTTCACTGTTACTGATAGAAAAACATCTTGACTGAAGTAGAATCAATCTTTTGAATTGAATATGTTGATTTGTGAATGATAAATAAAGCTAGCGACAATATTTTAAATCGAAAATATGTCGACATTCTAAAAGAAATATTTCTTATTGCAAGTCGAGCTTGTACTTTGTTGTTTCTATATTTATTTATCCTTTCTTCATATTTTTCTGGGCTATGTTGACTGTGAAAGGTGACTCGTTGTTCTTGAAATAACTGAAACAAATCACGATTCGTTCAAAGCTTTTATTCTACGGTCACAAGATTCGAATTACTTGGATTTGCGAATTAGTTCTTTGAAGGATGCAATACCTGCCATAAAAAAATTTAGCTCCATTTCGAACATCAACATATTTTTTCTTTTCTTCTGAATGGTTCGAGAGAAATATTTTTATCTTTTGCACTAAGTAGGGGATTACTTATGGAAACAGCTACAATTTATTACAACATACATTTCGATTCAAATTATTTTAGGAATTAAGCAGACTTAATTTTAAACGTTTTGGGATAGTGTCAATGAATCTTTATTTAAGCAACACGGATGTAGATCTCTGTATATGCTACAAGACAAAAACATTCTACTTACTTCATCTCCAGTTGGAAATACCGTAAGCAAGCGAGATCCATGTTTGTTCGAAATGAGAAAGGGCATAGACGTGGTGAATAGCGATATTTTTATTATCGATACTTTCTTTCTATAAGAGGTACAGAGTTTTACTCGATAAATGATACGCTTGCTTGTTATCGTCTAGTATTAAAAAACATCGGATATGGACAGATATGGAAAACATATTCTCGTTATTATATCTATATTGTACAAAACACATACGAAATGATCGGAACTAAAAGTTTGGCTCTAACTATGCAAACAAGCAAGTGGTAATAAAAGGTGTTTCAACACCATGAGTTTCAACTATGAACCCTTCGTTACTGTTGTGGGATCGAAATGAATCCATTTTACAGTTTTTCATCCAGAAATCATGAATAGATCTGAGAGAGAAAAAAATACAGCTGTGTTCGTCTTTCTAAAGCTGTCATATTTTGTCTTCCAATTGTTTTTTCCAAACATATTCTTTGGTACGTTCATTATTAATAGAAGTGATTCACATTTTCTTTATATAATTTAATATTTTGTAATTGTTTTTTGTTTTGTCGGTTTGTTCAAATCGTGTGAATTTGTTAGTGTTTGTACAAATGTAAGAGAAACAATCAAATGATAATTTTCTAGGCATGCCAAGAAAAGAACTAGACAAGACTTTGCCATCACGAAAGAAAGTCAAATAAGAATAACTGCATCATTGTGCCAGAGAAACTACATCCTCGAAGCTTTGGCATCATGGAAAAAAGAACAAGACAAAAATAAAGATAATGAACGAGAAAAAATCTCCTCCTTCTATCTATAGACAATGGTCTTATGCAAACAGTTTCAAACAATCTTAGTTTTGATATTTTATGTCTTTATATTGCGTCTATGAAAATTGATGCATAAATCTGTAAAGAAAGAGTATTTAGAGGCTTATAGTACATAAATAAATAGCTTAAATAAAAAAATAGTATTGATATTTTTGTAATTTTATATGGATGAGTCTAGATGAATCCCAGAACATCAACGAAGCGTTAAGTAAATTCTAGGTTTCATCTCGAAACACAAATAAGTTACTCAATTGTTATGGTGAATACTCTTAATAATTGAAGACAAAAATTGAAAGACAACATTGAAGTAATCTTCATGAATAAATCAGATTGTTTGATTAAACTTATGCTAATACATATGGTTTCTTATGAAACGTGAAAATCATGCATTTCTGTTTTATGTCTCATTTTGCTTAGTTTTTATTCGAGTCCTTTTTATTTCACCTTTTGTCATTATATTTGAGGAATAAAACTGCAAACACATCGATAGCACTGGTGTAGAGAGTAGACTATAGATCACCATTGATCATTGTTCATTCTTGGTTCATGCAACGCTATTCAAGATTTCGACTTCTGTGTCGCACGGAGACTTCGTGGAAAAGGAGGAAATGAATAGGGTAATACTGTCATGGTCGAATGCCTTCACTTGTCTTCTCACACCAATGAAAAATGAAGAGCTTTGAAAATATGAATCATCAAAACGATGTTTAATTCGTTTTTCTTAGAAGTAAGTCAAAGAAAATTAGAGTTTCTTAATGAGACTTGTCGAACAAAGAAAAAGTTTTTGTTGATTGAAAACCGTAATTGAATACATCGAGACCTAATGATTGACAAATGATTATATCAGTGGTCCATCCTTAAGTTGTTTGTGCGTTCTTGACTTGACTTAACTAGCTCGAGAGCAAGTAATCAAACAGGTGAGTATCTTTGAAGATGATTGAATGAGATTGATCGAATGTATCCATGATCAATATGTAATAAATGACCGACAAATAATCGTTCTCGAACACAATCATTGTGCAAAGTTATGAAGAGAATCCATTTCGGTTTAAATCATCGACCAATATTCGACATGATACGAAATGTTGTTTCACTTGGCAAACCTCGATCAGATTCATCAAGAATAAGTATTTGACTTTGACGCTGTTGAGCTAGATTCAGTGCTCTTGCAAGTATCAACCGTATTTTTTGACCACCACTTAGTCGATTTTCAAGAGGATGATAGAGTTGACCACCAAGATCATCTCTTACAAATGATTCGATTTCAACCAATCGTTTTCAGAGTCAGTGATCATTGTATAAATTGAAGAACAAAAATCTATGTGTATCTTGAAGTACAATTGTGCGAAGCGATTCAATATTATGAAATCCATTAGGTAATTCAATTGTTTCATCAATCATTATTCTAGCTG